GTGAGACGGACGATCATGCGATTCTACAAGCTGCACCCCAGTGCGTCAGATGAGCTAAAAACGTATATTGTATCAAGGAAATTATTGACATTTTCCCGAATTGGAATACACCTTGCGCAGGTAAAAACACGGTTCGTCTACTTAATACGTTTCTAGGCTACAAATTAGCAGCAAGTTGACAATAGAGACATTTGCGTACAGTCTATACTCAGAATACTGTCTGTTGTAAAATCATTTTCCACCACCAAGAATCAGCTGGAGAATGATCGAACACATTATACGCTACATAAAACAATAATTCACATCATTACTTCGAGCGACACGGACCAAGACCGAGATGAATTTTGCGAGCGTACACTGCGGCATAGAAAGACGCACGGTTACCTGTATTTGTAAGCTTCAAAACACGTTATTTTCGGCAATTACAAGAGAGTTTTGAGAGCAAATCCGTATGTTTCACGCCTACGACGACTTCACTATGGCGGGAGTCACGAGATGTGTGACATCATACATTTGCGCGGCTGTGGCGCCATCGCTTGGAGTGAAGTGTCGTTAATCATAAATACAAAAAATAATCATAATTTCTGGCACTATTTGTCTGCGCCTAATTGCCCTATCCCATTTCATTTGAATATACGACTATATATGTGCCCATTGGCCATCTCCACAACGCTTGTACCAATCTTACACTAGGAAATTTTTCGATATGAAAATTGTATCAGTTTTACTTTAACTATTTATGCAGCGCTGTAAACTTTGCTGTAAATGCTAACTGGTACGTCCAAAATACCAAATTTGCTCATATTTACTTTGACCATACTATAACCATGTTTTGCATGCAATCTGTATTATCATAAACTAGAAAGAGGCTGTCTTGAAAACTGTATAGTGTGTACAGACTTTTCGCAATTCCATTGCATTGATAAATTTGTCACATTGTTCTCCAACCTATATTGATTAATTCTTTACGGGTACATTTATTTATTAGTTCAGTTTCTGTTGGCTGTCGGTAGATTTAATGACTGCATAGACATTTGGCCATCCGATTGTAGTATTATTTTTTTCTATTTTTTATTTGAATATGTTAAGCTTGCCAGCGTCATCAATGCGCTTTATATAGCGTCAATACGGCCTCATATATAGACTATATATAATATATATTATATCACATATATATATATATATATAAATACTGTATATATTATACATATAATACACACGTACATACACCTGCATAATACTTATAGATATGTTATTGTCCGTTTACAAACATTAACGCCACGCGATGGCGCCACCGAGTCATATTTGAATTCGCGTTCTTGAAAATGTTTAGAATGGATATTAACGCCACGCGATGGCGCCACCGAATCATATTTGAATTCGCGTCCTTGAAAATATACGTTTAGAATGGATATAATAACAATAAATCCTCTCTCAATCCCCTTTCAAAACCAACAGCTGTACGAGCGAAGGTTAAACCGGTCCTATTTCATGTAATTATCACATCTACATGTGAGCATGAATTACAGAAAACGACATTGTGACAAACAATGTTTCCTTGCACGTAAACGTTACTCACCGCAGACTACGTTAGCAACATAATAAACTAGTCAGTAAAATGTACATTCACGTGTTTATTATTTGACCTATCATCTAATTGAAAGCTGCAAGCGAGCATATAAAGTGTATTGTACAATGGGGTTATAAAGTTGCGCTCCGCTTGCTTTGAAAGCAGGGAGCATGTCACGTGGGGTAGTGACGTCACGACAAGGGTAAGCTGGGTAACGAATTTCTCATAGCAACCATTCGACAGCAACAGGGAGTGTTGTGCATTTGCTGTGATGAAAATTGGCAGTTTAGTTGGATGTCTGGCCATGATTGCTTGTGTGTGAGTACAGTGACATGGCGAATACACAGGAGATGTCACTAGGATCGCTAGGCGGTGTCCAGAATTGCCTCTTAGGAATAAAATGTCGATGAGATTGAAGGCTTTGGATACTGCCGATGCATCGACGATTGCAGCAGCCGCAGCAACAAACGGGGAATCCATAGTTGTCGGTACTCGCATAGGACATTCCACTGTGGCTAATCACTTGCCTCTACTAAACCACCAGATGATCGGTGGTGACAGCAAGCAGACTCTGGCAAAGATCAACCACGCCAGCGGTCACGGAGCCGGAGTTCAAGTTCAGCAATTATACGAAGCGTCAACCGAGCATAAAATGAAGCAAAATGGCGAGACGTTCAACTCGGGTACCCCTACTCAGCTGCTGCCCACCGTACGACCGTCCAGCAGTGCTGGGAGCACTGGCAGTGGCGGTCACTCGGGATCTGTTAAGCTTAAATCGCAGCCGCTGACACCAGAGCAGTCTATGAAGCTGTACATGCACAAACTCTCTGCGTACGAACATCACGAGATCTTCAGCTATCAAGAAATCCACTTTCTGGGACCAAACGCAAAGAAGCGACAGGGCGTCGTTGCCGGACCTCAAAACAGCGGCTACGACGACGAGAACGGCTCGTACATACACGTGCCGCACGACCACGTCGCGTATCGCTACGAGGTGCTGAAGGTAATCGGCAAGGGTAGCTTCGGGCAGGTCGTGAAGGCGTACGACCACAAGACGCATCAGAACGTCGCGCTCAAGATGGTGCGCAATGAGAAGCGATTTCACCGGCAGGCGGCGGAGGAGATACGAATCCTCGAGCACCTGCGCAAGCAGGACGTCAAGGACAACTCGATGAACATCATCCACATGTACGACCACTTCGTGTTCCGCAACCACCAGTGCATCACCTTCGAACTGCTCAGCATCAACCTCTACGAGCTCATCAAGAAGAACAAGTTCCAGGGCTTCAGCCTGCAGCTCGTGCGCAAGTTCGCGCACTCGCTCCTGCAGTGCCTCGACGCCCTCTACAAAAACAAGATCATCCACTGCGATCTCAAGCCGGAGAACGTGCTGCTGAAGCAGCAGGGACGCAGCGGCATCAAGGTCATCGACTTCGGCTCGAGCTGCTACGAGCACCAGCGCGTCTACACGTACATCCAGTCGCGCTTCTACCGCGCTCCCGAGGTGATCCTCGGCGCGCGATACGGCATGCCCATCGACATGTGGAGTCTTGGATGCATCCTCGCCGAGCTGCTGACGGGATACCCGCTCCTCCCTGGGGAAGACGAGGCCGACCAGCTCGCGTGCACGATCGAACTCCTGGGGATGCCTCCGCAGAAGCTGCTCGAGCAGTCGAAACGCGCGAAGAACTTCATCAGCTCGAAGGGGTACCCGCGCTACTGCACCGTGACGAACCTACCAGACGGCACGGTCGTGCTGAACGGGGGCCGCTCGCGTCGCGGGAAGCCCCGCGGCCCGCCGGGCAGCCGCGACCTCGTGCAGGCGCTCAAGGGCTGCGACGACGCGCTCTTCCTCGACTTTCTCCGCCGCTGCCTCGAGTGGGACCCGGCGACGCGCATGTACCCACCCGGCGCGCTCCGACACCCGTGGCTGCGGCGGCGGCTGCCGAAACCGCCGTCGACGGAAACCGCGGGGGCGGCGTCGCCCGCGCCCGGGCGGAATTCGTCGCGGAGCGTCATCACGAAGCTGTCCAATCGCAACGCGAGCGCGAAACAGAGGGTGCCGCTAGCGGAGGAGCCGTCGCTAAACACGCGAACTAAGCTACCGCAGATCGGGAACTCCATCTTGTAGCGCAACCTGGCGGGCGATGGCGGCGTGTTTTAGAAAAATCGCTTTGCGTGTCGCAGTTTGCGCCGACGCAAGGCTGTGATAATTTATGCCAAAGTGTTGTGCTGTCATACATACGTAGAAAGCACGCGAGAGAGACAGAGAGAGAGATAGTATTCACTCGATGGCATGATGTGACTCCATATATACATATATGTGTGTGTATCTATACGTGTGCGTACGTGTTGGTGTTATTTATTACATGAGCTTCATGTATGTGCGTTTTCCCCGTCGGACGCTCGACGCTCCGGACTCTAGGAGACGCCGTCCTGCTCTCCCGCGAGTTCGCAGAGGGCGCCACCTACGCACGGCGCTCGCTCTCCGACGAGATGATCTCAGCGCCACCTGGAGGCACGCACGGCGTTCAGCGGGATGCCCGATGCAGGTGGCGCCACCGTCTACAGACCGCTCGCGCCGCCATGTTGGCCCGACGGCGTTGCCGTGGCGACCGCGAGGTTCCATCGTCCAGGGGGCGCCGGCGTCGACGGGAGTCATTGATCCGCTCCCCCCCGGAGGGCGCCGGCTATTGCCGCGTCGAGACGTGAGGACCGCTGTTTGTTGTGCGTCACCTAGCAACGATGAAATTTGCATGAGCGCGGCGTCTGGCCGCGAGAATCCCCCCCATCCTCCTCCCTCCCTCCCCCCTAGTCCCCCCTCCCCCTAGCCCGCCCACGATTACAGATATTAGATCGTTGTTACTCCGTTGTTGTACATTTTTCTTCTTTTACCATCTTTCGTTATTTCGTGTGTTTTTTTAGTTTTTTCGCCGGCTTTTTATATCGTCGTCATCGTTATAACGATTTTACTCTCGGACGCGTGGGTTTTTTCGACGCATACAGAATCAGGCCAGTTTCCGTCCATATGTTGTGTTGCAATGTTTTAGTAGGTTTTTTGTACAGTTGCATATATAACAACGAGATAGAGCGTGAGTGAGGGAGAGAGCGAGAGATAGAGAGAGAGAGAGAGAGCGCGAGAGATAGAGAGAGAGAGAGAGAGAGAGAGAGAGAGAGAGAGAGAGAGAGAGAGAGAGAGAGAGAGAGAGAGGAGAGAGGAGAGAGAGCGAGAGAGAGAGAGAGGCGAGAGAGAGAGAGAGAGAGAGAGAGAGAGAGAGAGAGAGAGAGAGAGAGAGAGAGAGAAACGCGTGTAGATATATAGGAATCCCGTGCCGTCTTAGCGTGTGTAGCGGAGTCTCCCTCCCCCGCCGTACAAGGGAGGTTTCTTAGATCCTGGATTTAGGTGCGTTTGTGATCGACCCCCTTACCCCCGACACCCGACCCCTGACCCCTCCCGTTCTGATGTGTGAGGTCGGTCGCTTGGCGTTGCAGTCTCGAACCACATACTCACCTCCCCAACACCCTCGACCCTTAACTCTTGAACCATGGCCGTCGGTGCGCGTTGTCCTGTCGATTTGAGAGTGCAGGAGAGAAACAGAGAGAGAGTGAGAGTGCAAGAGAGAGAAAGAGAGTGAGAGAGAGAGAAGCTGTCCTGAGCATTTTTCCATTCATGATCTCAAAAGGTTGTTTGTGGCGTGCCGTGGCAGTGACGATTGATTCTTATCTTATTACGTGTTCCGTGTGGCGTGTGTGCGTGCGTGTGTGCATGCGCGCGTGCGTACGGTTGCGTGTGTGCATGCGTGCATGCGTAGTCTGCTTGTGTGTGTGTGCGTGCATGCGTACCTCTGCTTGTGTGTGCGTGTGTGCGTTTACGTGTGTGTGCGTGCATACGTCTGCATGTGTGCGTGCGTACGTTTGCGTACGTCTGCTTGTGTGTGCGTGCGCCCGACGCGTTGTTCAATCGTACTAGTACCCGATCGCACGCGTCGCCATGGTAACGGCCAGTCCCCCTCCCCCCTCCCTTCCCGAAAAATATCAACTGTGAGTGTATAGAAGATGAAGTAAGTTGGACATGTAGTTTCACGTGCTGTGATGCTTGATTGGCGCGGTTACTGCTGCGCGTGCGTGCGTATCGCGTCATGCGTGATGAGAGTGAATCGCTCGCCCCGCACGCGCCGCCCGGCGGGACGGGGACGTACGTAGAGACGGTGGCGCCCTCTAGCCTCCAGTGGCGCCGTCGCGCCGCGGCGAAGTTCCGGGGCGGGGACGCCCTCTTGTCGTGCGTGCGGTACGGGGTAGCTGATGGGAGAAGGATGCTGCGTGCTAACGAGGTAAACCCTTGCTAGCGACCGTCAGATCCCGAGATGATCTCGCCTCCCCGCTCGTGCGGTTGCCGTGGCAACGAGAGCCGCAGCATTCGCGCGTGTTTGCGTCCATGCCTTCCTCCTCTCCCGCAAAAAGAAATTGCAAGGAGGATGCGCATGGCCCTCCCACAGACCCCTTCTCTCTCGCACCCTGCACAGTAGAGTGTGAGAGAGAGGCGAGCGGAGGCTGAGAGGGAGATGCCCCCCCGCGCAGTCGCCGTGGCGACGCATCGGGATGCGAAGCAAAGTGGTCTCTAGATATAAATATTCGTATTTGCGTGTCTCTGCACTTGGTAAAGCGTACATGTAGGAAGAAGTTTGATTGATAATTGATGATTAATGATTGATGATGCTGATGCTGATGAGGAATAAATACGTGAAACTCGTACGTGACATTTTAACAACAGAAACCCGTTTGCTTTCTCTCTATTTGTATCTGTTTTTCGTCTCGTTTCCCTCTTTACATTTCGTCGTCTCGCGTCGCGGTGTCTCTCTCCCGGCTTTACGCGAGAGAGGGGGAGGTGAAGCCCTCAGCTTCCCCTCAGAGAAGATGAAGCCAGACAGACCAAGGATGCTGTTCCAGAGAAGAAGCTGTTTCAGTGGAGAGGAAGGAGAGACCGGGAGACGAAAGAGGAAGATCACAGAAGAAGGAAGCTGAGAGAGAAAGAAGGAAGAGGGCACAGAGCGGTGAGTGCTGGCGTATTACGTGATCCTCTTTCGCTCACGCACATCGATGTCTGGGCTTCCTCTCTTCTCTCTGTTTTCTTGTGGTGGGGCGGGGAGCGTTCTTCTTGCTTCTCTCTCATTACTCCACCTTCCTCTCTGTTTCTCTCTCATTGCTCTTGCCTCCCGCTTGCTTCTCTCCCTTTCCTCTACCTTCTTTCTTGTTTTCTTCCCATAGCACTACATATCCCCCCACCCCATGCGTTCTTCCAACCCCCTAAATTCCCGCTACTTTCTTCCCATTCCACTGCATTCTTCCTGCTTTCTTTCCTATCTCTCTATATCTCACCACATTCTCTCTATTTCCTTCGCATTCAACTTGTTTATAGCTGCAATCGTAGATTCGTAGTACATAATCGTAGCTGCAATCGGAGTACATTATCCCTGTAGTGCGTATCTCGCATGCCACTACCATAGAAATAATATATAGACTATAGAGAGAGTATCTATATTATTTCTATGGCCACTACCTTCCGTTTTGTCTTTTTTACTTGTGTTGTTGCTTTCATGATGTGATCAGTTCTTTCTGGGGTTTCTGCACTTTGTATGGATGCGGTATTATTCACAACAAGCCCCCCCCCATGTTGTTTCTATGGATGCAAAAAGCACCATCTTTGTCTTCCTCTTACATACCCTTCTCTTCCTCTTCCTCCTCCCTCTCCTCTTCCTCCTCCTCCCTCTCCTCTTCCTCCTTATACTCCTCCTACCCATACTCCTCTTCTTCCTCGTCCTTATCCTCCTCCTCTTGCTACCCCTCCTCCTCCTCTTCCTACCCCCCTCCTGCTCTTCCTACCCCTCCTCCTCTTCTTCAGCCACCATCCATCCATCCATCCATCCATCGATGTCTCCAACACGGCGCCATCACACCTGCATTTTCACCTGCAGTCCGTACGTTCTCACCTGTACGTTCTCACCTGCGCAATCATCACCATGAAAACAGGTATTCCGACTCGATGAGGGGTCAAAGCCCCGCGCGAGGGCCGTCTGGAGGGGAGCGGGGGAGGGCGTGCGTAGGGGAGGGGAGGGAGGAGAGAGGGAGGGGATGCCGGCCCCACCCCGCCTCGTCTGTGTGCGTGTGCGTGCGTGTGCGAGCGCGTGCGTGCGTGTGTTTGCACAGGTGTTATTACACGATGTGTGTACACGCTTCCGGTGTGCCCTCCGGGTAGAGAGAGAGAGAAAGAGAGAGAGAGAGAGCGAGAGAGAGAGAGAGCGAGAGCGAGAGAGAGAGCGAGAGAGAGAGAGAGAGCGAGAGAGAGAGAGAGAGAGTAGAGAGCGAGANGTGCGTGCGTGCGTGCGTGCGTGGTGCGTGCGTGTGTGCGTGCGTGCGTGCGTGTGTGGTGCGTGCGTGCGTGTGTGCGTGCGTGCGTGTATCAGCGATTTGTGTTATCGCTTATTAATAACCCAGTGACGCATCAGGCAGGGAACAACAACAACAACAACACCAACACCAACAACAACAACAACAACAACAACAACAACAACAACAACTACTACAACAGTAGTAGTAGCACCAGCAGCTGTAGCACCAGTAGCAGCAGCAGCAGCAGCTGTAGCACCAGTAGCAGCAGCAGCAGTAGCAGTAGCAGCAGCAGCAACAGCAGTAGCAGCAGCAGTAACAGCAGCAGCAGCAGCAGCAGCAGCAGCAGCAGCAGC